AAACGGCGATCAGAGGCGTAAAAGGCATAAACGGCCTGCTCTTTCGCCGTGGACCGTAATTTTCCTCGCTGGTAGAGAAACAAGTGTACGGCCGTTCGAGCAACTTTAATTTTTTCTTTTTTTTTCTTTTTTTTTTTTTTTTTTCTTTTTACGTCTGTTTCGTCTATTAGGTAACGACGATCATCATCGTTTGCCGCGAGAAGAAGAAGAGCGGCGGCTCCCTTTTGGTCAAGGAATGGCTGCCCTCTTTGGATGCAAATACGAGATGATTGCGAGGAATGGCCGTTTCGAATCGTTGGTAATTATCGTGTTGGCCGACGGTGGTTGGACGCTTTTTTCTTGGAAGATTTATTGGAATACTCGTTGTTGCAGCTTGTTCGAGTGACACAGAGTCTTGAGATAGCAAGAAGTTTGAATGTATGCTGGTGAATTAAGCACGATGCAATTTACTTTCGATTTTGTACAAGATGAATGGGCGAAGACTTGTTATTGTAGTCGATGAAGATTCTGACTTTTTCTTTTTTTTCAAGGTCAAAATGTTATTATAAGTCCGGTATTGGAATCGATCTCTCTGCTCGACAGAAATTTTGTTTCTCGTCGAAACGATTTCTTTCTTTAGATTCTTCAAGCGTTGTTGTATAATTGCATCCATTTTTGAGTTTCAAGAATAAACGTTAAACGATCCAATTTTCTTATTTCGAAACATTTTTGACAATTGTCCACAGAATCTTTTAGAATTTCAATCTTAGAGATCCTTTCTTTTTTTTTCCGAACACGATTCGATAATAAACCTACTTCTGAATGAATCTAATTAGTCGTTTCGCACGATACAAAGGAGAAGTAAGTAAGATATATAACATAATTCAATAAATATCTCGGCCACGATCTCGTGTGTTCACACGTATTCATAACACGCGACCCCGCAAATCCTTCGATCAAATCGCGAACGCATAAATCTCATTCCCGCAAGGTTAATGTATTCTTAAAACATGGATATAATATTTCTGCTCTTTCCTGCATATTCGAGGGCTATAAATCGTCTTCGTAGAGCTGCCGATTCCAGCTTTGACCGTGAATGGCGCGTTGTGGACAAACGTTGCATCACACGGGATCTGTCATTTGCATTCCTCTTCCGCCTGTTGAGATGAATCGTCAATAGGGGCCGAGATAAATCGAGTTTGACTCGTTTCCAGATGAAAATGAACAAGGATTCTCCTTGATTTTTCGAGAAAGATTTTAACAAAAACATAAAATTTATCCTCATACAAGAGGGAATCTTTCTTTAAGTTTTCTTCAAGACTCTTCTTATTATCCAATTTCAAAGATAATTAATTCTGGAATTATTCTTGTAATATTGCAGATAATATTGTCGAATCTTTGAAGATAACGGCAAAACAAGTTCAATCTACTTCGATTGAATTTTTCGATGAAAATGGTTTCTGAATGAGTCTTTTATTTTCTCCATACTTCTGCATCGCTTTGTATTCGTCACAATAGTATCGCCGTGCGAAAGAGGATTTATTAATGAAAAGAAAATATTCGAGCGATAAATTTCTGGTTGGAAACAGGAGAAGTGTCTCGTGTAATCTGGTATAATTGAATGAAGACGAAAAGTGGATTAGGCCACTTTCCTTCGAGAGGGGGCGCAATCAGGCTTGATTATTATGTGCGCGAACTCAATAACGTCCCCTGTTTTCTTCCCAACTCCTCGAAGCTGGATTACGTTTAATTACTATTATGACGCCTGCCAACACACGGAACAATGTAGACGGATTCGAAATGGAGGATTCCACGACGAGCGGAATCTCTTTCACCGACTCTTTCGTGAAGCAACTTTTTATATGCCAAGGGTTCAGATCAATATGCGCCTGATTCGCTGAAAATGATGAAAATGATTTATTCAAGAATATTTTTTCAATCCTTTTATTAAGTGAAATTTTTCTTGCTTATACTTTGTTCATTACTCTTAAATTTGAAACTTGGAAATTAATTTATATTAATTATAAATAAAATTGGTACAATAGAAAACGAATAATATTAATAGTGTATAACAATATACAAATACATTATAAATAAACCGTGCAACGACAAATAATAAAAAATATCGATACACATATGACATAATACAAAGAGAAATATAAAATAGAATTTTATTAAAAATATAGGCATGTATAAATATGTGATATCCAAAGATTGAGTTTGTGTTACAATTATCAATTATCCAAAATCCTTTCTATGAAAATCGTACTCTTTTTTTTAATATACTACGTAATGTATCGTCGAGAAGAAAATATTTGCTAACTCGAACAATTCTTAATACGACATCGAATCGAATGGAAGAAAAAAAGCATCGTTCCAGTAATCAAGCTCGAGGATTCTCAACGATCTGCAACGATGCAGATTTGAGAGTCTCGAGTCGCGATCTTGCCTCGAGATCTTTCGTCACGAAAGATGCTTCGACGAAACCTTTTTTCTAACTAATCGCGACGAGGGGTGATTCCGCGTCGAGGTCGAGGTCGCAAATTTACGTGTAAAAAGAGAGTCATCGACCCCTTTGATTAGAAAAAAATATCGAGATATTTCGATAAGAATTAATTATGGAGAAAAATGGAGGAAAAAATGAAATTCGTCGTTGAATGGAACACGATGAAGGTGTTGGATTTTGCCTCGAGGAAACTTTTCTACACTTGCTTCGTATTTAACGAAGAATTCGAGAGGAATACACCGGTTTCGAGGACGTTTATGTGGGTCACCGAGAGAATTAAGTCGAACGTGTATCACTTGTTAACGACAATGGTGTAAACTTTGTGAACGGTCGATGGATCGATTTCCACGTGTCTGGCCGAAAATTTTCGCCTACAATTATGCTTCACACGATTTGTGAACGTGTTTTCTTTCAGAGTTTCCGATCCTTGAAATTTGGATTGTCAGATATCTTGTATTAATACACGTATTCTTAATCAAATTAATATCATTGGATCGATATTATTTATCAACACGATTGTTCTAATATGTTTTATAATTTCGAAGAAAGATATATCGAAGAAAAGTTTATTTTCATAGGAAATGCAACACATAGAAATTACTTTATCATGGTAAAAATAATCATGCAAGAAAATTAAAATTGTTACATACGTTTTGCATTTTATGCACACGTCTAGATTTTCATTTACTGATTCTGTGAATAAAATCAACAAGCTTGCGAATAATTATTATAATAGAATCTAATTTTTTCTTGATATTAAATCGTGTTCTCCGAAGTCAAATTAATATCGTGTTGAAACTCGATTAATATATCGAGTGCAAACATTAGATTGCACGTATCGTTCTGCATAGATTTCTCTCACATGTTTGAATTATACGCAATTATTACTCGATACTCGTTCGAGTATAAAAATCGAATAAAAATTATAACTGCGTATAAATTGGTATACGTGTGCAAAGTCACACCTGTATTTTTATTACACGTGAAAGATCTTCGACGAAATGAATCAAAATTAAATTAAAACCTCGAGTAAATCGATCACACGTTAATTACCCTTACAATCCAAATCACCATAATGCTCTTTTATTTGAAATAAAATTAAAAATTTTCAAATCCACATTTTTATTTCTCGACTATGTTCATTATCATGATTTTCAATCATCAATGAATGATCGAAAATCGAAAACTTATAGTTATTGGTGCAAAGCTGATAAATAGATGTCACGTGCTACGATAGCGAATCGTCAACATGATCGTTCCCCTCGAAAATAATCCTTCGAACGGCTGAACATCTTATTATGCGTCTCACAGGTCAGCGGTTCGGTCTCGTGATTTCAGTGTCGAGTCAATTGAATCGGCGCGGAACATGGATCAGCGCGATCCTGACCGTGCTACCCTGAACGGATAATGGGAAGATGAAAGATCACGCCGCCAATTTTCCCTGCTCCATAATGCACCGAAATGATTTATTATCGTCGAGCCAACGACGAGCACGTTTCCGACTTTTTTCCTCATCAATTTATCCGGGAATACAGAAGAGTGTATGCCGCGAAATTTTCAATCTATCCAAAATCTCTTATTGAAAGCTACTTTAAATTGGAAAATTACGGATATCGGGATAAAGGATATCCCTTAAGATGTCATAATTTCACCTATCCTTTTATTTCAACTTGTCGTATCGAAAGGGAAACCGTTCATTTTAACTTTTAGTTTCGTGTAACGTGTAAAATTCGAGTAGCACGGATTCTACTATTCGCAGAGAAGAAAACAGAAGATGGATGACTGTTATTCTACTGTATAGATTGACACATCTAACGTTCATGTAGTATATATTCACCTGTCCAGAAGAGCTATGATTTATACATTTCAAGGAATTCGAGTTCCGATTAAACTCGTCCGAATAATCGATCAACAGAGAGAATAATACAAGGCAACGACGAAAATGTTTTCGCGAGGATGAAGAAAAAAAGGGTGGCGAGATACGCATTTTAGCCCAGTTATTTGCTCAGCTGCGGAACGGTCGTTCTGTGTTGATTCTGGCTAATTTCACCATCATCCCAATTTCCAAGCGGCAGTTCGTTTCACGGTCGTGACCCACGAGGATGCTGGCGTTCACTTTTCACCAGCCGACTCAACCCTCATAGTCCCACGCTCTATCTCTCTCTCTCTCTCTCTGTCAGAATAATCCCTCTCCCCGACATGGTGTCTACGCGGTAATAGGAAGATGAAGGATCACAGTGGTAATTTGCTCAGTCAACGGCCGGCGAGATCGCGAAGATTTATCACCGGTACGTTCGATGAAGAGGAGAGAGACGAAGAAGAAAAAGAAGAAGAAGAAGAAGAGGGAAGGAGAGAAAGGGCAAGGGCAAGAAAAAGAGAGAAAGAGAGAGAGCGAGACAAAGAGCGGTAGAACTCGAAAACCAGTCTACACGCGTCGCGTCGCGACGCGCGAGAGGCCTGACCGCTCTTGACCCTCGGTACCAGGGTGTTGGGGAATTTATCGTGCTGGACTCACCTCGCCACTGGTGCTGCTGGCCCTGCTTCGATCGAGATCCAACCGAGATATACTACGCTGCGGCTCCGAAATATCCAAGAAGGCTCTGGTGGCGATGGGTCGTCGGTATATCGCGCCGGGCTCTTTCCACCGTCGAAGAAGCCGAACCACGACACCGGAGAACGAGTTTTCACTTTTATTATACCGGCAGTCCCGCCGCCTCCTCTCTTCCTTTTCACGTTCTCGTTACACGTTATCACAGTTTCTCGGAGGAGGGACGGCCCCTCGAGCACGCATCAAAGGAGCGAACTGGAGGAGCTGGACGATAATAACAATCAACGAAAGAAACTGCCAAGAAAATACGTACAATACGATATGAAGAAACACTGTGTGGGGGACGAAACACAAGCCGATCACCGATCACGTTCGTATCAGGAAGAACGAGGAAGAGGAAATATATACGAAGCTGGAAGAAAGAAACGTGTATCCACGGAACGGATTTATCCAGAGAGGTTGCCACGATGTTTGGTCGCGTTATGTACTTGTGTGCGTTCGCGGTGGTGGTGTCTATCTCTTCAGTCCTTCTCGATGAACGAAATCGGAGCCCGGTTCACGGTATTATCCATGGAGTATCGGTGTCGAGGAGGGGGATCCACGATCAGGAGCGTTGATCCGTGTGCACGACGAGCGTAGTTGTCGCGTTATACAGGACGACAGGTGCAGCGGCTGCAGCTGGCACGGTCGTCGGCTTCATACTGAAGGGGCGCCTCGACGCCGCCGGCACGCCGATGCTACGAGAAACTGGCTCTGCCACTGGCGACGGCACCGAAAACTCGGACCAAGCGCAGACTCTGCCCTCGCTCCACGCTCGCTCTCCGCCGCTGGTCCTCTCCGCCTGCCCTCCCCTCCCTCTCCTCCCCGCCGCCAGAGCGTCGGCAGAGGAGGAGGGGGAAGCGCTCGTGCTACGTTCTCCTGGCTCTCCGCGTTCCACTTCCTCGCCCCCTCCGCTGTCGCCTTCCCCCACTCCTCGCCCGCAACCCCCACCACGCGCCTCTGTGACCGCGCTCCCCACCACTCTCCTCTTCTCTCCACTCTTCTCCTCGCCTCGCCTCGCCTCGCCTCGCCTCACCGCTTGATTCATTCTCCGCGTCGTTCTCTTCCACGGACGCGGCGGGCATCGCTGATATTCCAGCACTTCGTAGCCGGTCCTCGATGGATGCTGGGCGAGTTCCACGCGTTCCGGTAGGTCGGTGCCGGTAGGTAGAACCGGACCGGCGGCAAAAACCGATTGCGTTTCGAGATGAGGGAGAACGCGGGCCGGCTCCCGCTGTTGGCAGGGGCCTACCAGGGGCTTGGAAAAATGTTTCACGCGATCGAGGACCCCTTCGAGGAATGTTTCTTTATTTTTTTTCTTTTTTTTTTGTTGGATGGGGAGATTCGTTGCTTATCGAGGAAGAGTTTTTGGGGTTATCGAAGATAGGGTTATTAGGGATTCGATAATCGCATTTTATGATCGTTCTCTATTTGTGTAATTGGACGGATATTGACCCTTCTGTGTCGTATACTTTTAAATGGTTATCTGGAAATTGTGAAACTGATATATGTTGAAACGTTATGCCGTCCGATATTTTTATTATTGTTCGCATTTATTTCGACCTATATGATAATAAATTTTTGATCTAAGCGAATCGATTAGAATCATTCGTGTAAAATTCCGATCAATTTGACTTAGAGAGCAATAAAAAGCTTATTGAAAAGTTATTAATCCAGAATTGAATTCGTGGAATTAAGGATCGTTCGTTAACCAAGCATTATCCCCGTGGAAGCGAAATAAGATGTAGGATCGAAGATAAAAGAGACATTCCGTCGAGAAATTCCTCGCATGCAGTACACCAGAACATTTATCCACCTATTGACCATTCTGGCTTCTGATTAAGCTGAAACTGGACAAAGTTGTCCGTTTTAGAAAGGCTGTCGTCAACGTCTTGCGTTTCGTTCAACGCGCGATCAAGGATCACTGGTTGCATTTTTCGAGGCAGTACTTGAAGTACAAAACAAATGGAGCGGATTTATCGAGCGGAGAGGCGATATTAAGCCGCGTGGAAAGCCGGTCACCGGTTTCGTCTCCGGTTCCATCCTTTCCGCGGACAACCCGCATCTCGAAAGTATCTTCCTATCGTCGAGATGGAAAGTGGAATGTAAAAAGCATCCACGCACCGCTGTTTAACCGACGGTTCTCTCGCGTGTATGCGTGAGCTTTCTTTCGTGTGGGTGGGATTTCCAGAGAGATCGAGGGGAGCTCGTGAAGGGGCGAGGAACCCTCGTAACGTTCCTCCTGATGATCGTCGTCGAATCAAAGCTGTCTCGTTCGAAATTCGTGGTGTAAGATTTTTGTGATTGTGCCGCCTCTGGTCCCTCGAGATCGCTTCCTTAAGGTGTGTATATAATCTGTGAAGATATAGTATAATGTAATAAGGAAAAGTATTCGAAGGATGAAATTGTATTTGAAAGAATGCTGAAACTTTGAGGGTGGATTTTTCACAAGCGTGTCGAATATATTTCCTGTCGAAGGAGAGAAATTGCTTTATCCTTTTCTGAGCGTATTTTATTTGAATTTTATCATACGCTTAAAATAATTCTTATTTCAAATTGTTCGTCAAAAAAAAAAAAAATATCTGTGACAAATCTAATGATAAATGAAAACGGAAATAGAATTGAAGAATACTTGAAATAATTTAAATAATTATTCGATCAAATTATAAGATAGTCTAAAGAAAAAGATCATTTGTTCTACAAATAAATAATTATTTCAAACAACATCCATTCGAATATACGTTACATTAATCATTTTTCATTTGCTATTTGGATAACACTCGAGTCACTGTATATCTGTATACTCTTCACGTGATACGATTCCCTTTAGCGCCACGAAAAATACGGCGATTGCCGAAACGATAATCGATTTCTGTAAATTCGTACTAAGGTCGTCGAACATAATATGATCACCGATAAAAATACCCAAGGAACCAAAAGTAACCAAGAGTGCTTCATTCAAAGCAGCGAGCGTCTGACGATGGTATTCGAGCGGGAAAAAAGGACGAAGAGGACGTGCGAAATAGTGACGAGGAGGGTGGGTGGGGCACGCATGGGCTGGGTGGAAAAGGAGGTTGAATTGGAGAAAGAAGGAAGGAGAGAGAATGGAACAAAATGATCCCGCGTGTGGAACAAAATGGTCGGTAGAATTTATAACTTTCGCACTCGGGTTAATACTTGGCTACCTCCTGGTCGGGGTTTATCGACCAGGTTGCACTTGTTTTGTCCAGCTATCGGTGTAAAGATCGAAAATGTCGCGGCCAATTTCACGAGTCGACGAGTATTCACTGTGTATATATGTACAGGGTGTGCCAAGTTTTAATCGCCGTTTGTCGGTACGGGTTTGAATAATGTATAATGTATTAGATAAATATGGATTATTTATAGCTTTTTTTTTCTAATCGTTATGATGAAATATAGTAGAATAAAATAGAATAAAATAGCATATTCTCAAGATATTTAAATAAAGTCCCAATTCGAAGATTATTGAGACACCGTGTGTTACAAGGAAAATTGTGAAATGTTTGTAACATTTTTTTAAAGAAATTAGAAAGTTATATCATAAATAGGAAACATCGAGTAATAGACTTCCGGTTATTGCGATACAATATTTAATTTTAGCTTGTTTATGCAAGCTGTCTGCTCACTATCTGATAAATTGAATATTATTCTATATATATATATATAAAAGCTTTCTTAATGACAGAAATTATTTTTCAAATTTTTGACTGTACCACTGATTTGTTTTTGCAAATACATTGTGTTACAAATATTATTTTATTCGTATGCATTGGATATTAAAAACCAATACAATACTACCATTGAATATACAAAGGAATGTAAATGAAGAAGATTGAGAATTACAATTCTATTGGTCCAATCATAGACACGATTTAAAAATTAACAAAAAGATCCTCCTTTCATAAATACCTATAAATACAAATTTCTCGTGAAAGGAAATTTTCACACCATGAATTTCATACCAATAATTTTTAATCCACCCACAATTCGTCTTTTATCCAAATATTTTGAACATCATCACAAACAAACAAGGTACACCCTATGTATACAATCTCTCTAAACGCAAGGCGGCTTCGAGTTTGAACGCAAGGGAGAGAGGGGGGGAAGGGAGGCAGAAACCTCCGCCTTTCGTGCCCCGAACGACTTTCCTTCAAATCGTGGGGACATTTTACGTGGCGTCGGTTGACATTTACAGTGAAATCCCGACCGTAGCCGGTCGCCTACCATTTGCCTCAATGACATCTCGGGGATCTACGGTTCTGCCTTGCGCAGAACCTGTTTCGTGCCCGTGTTCCTGCTTTGGCTGGCCCTCTACGAATCCGCGAATCCAACATCGTCCACCGCCTATCCAAACGTCGTCCACGTATAGCAGCTTGTTCTCCTGCCTCTCTCGCCTCGCGCGATTTAATCGGCCCTGTCGTGTTTTCAACGGTTACATTTCGAGGCACTTCGAAATGCCCGATACAGGACATTCTTCTGCGGACGATATCTTATCGCGATAAAAGGGGGCTTTGGTTAGGTTTAGTTTTTGCAAAATTTGAAGTTTCACCTTGTGGAGATCTTTTTAACTTAACTTGTTTCTTGGAACGGTGGTGGATAAAGTATCGAAGTATCGAATAAATTGTTTGGAAGAAATTGTAAATTTTTTCTTAGTTTTTGGATAAACAGAAATTAGGATAGAAGTGATATAATGCGTTGTTATAGAAAATATATACAATAGAAAACAGTACGTTTCAAATTTCCATTGATATTTCGAAACTTCGATTGTTTTACAATGATTTGAAAATTGTTAATGAGCAATTGGAATAAATTTATTCGAATAGCTATTTAAATAAACTTCCTGTGGAATAAGGAAGATTAGAAGGACAACAACTGTTACGAAAGATGTAATCCCCATCTCATTTAGGATTTAATTGTTATTATAAATGAAAACCTTGATATCTCACATATCTCTTATATTCCATTTCCTTCATAAAAATTCTTACTTCTTATTTCATAATATAATATTCGAATAATTCAACAATACATCTTATCTCATAAAAAGAAAAAATTAATTTTCAAACTTCTTAAATGAATTAATAAGTTTTTACTTTGCAATTTTTTTTTGGATTCTTTCTTTCTTTTTTTTTTTTCCAAAGTGCAAGTGCTTTGAAATCGCACGGTATTCTTCGCCGTTGAGCGTGACTCAATGCGTTTCAT